GCCTCACCTGTGCACACCACGCCCGCGTCCTCGCCGTGGTTGCAGTCGTGCTCGCCCCAGGTGTGCAGCTGGCACTGCGCCAGCTCCTGCTCCCTACCTGTGCAGTGGGCGCCGTCCAGCCAGATGGGATCCGCCCCCCGGCCGAAGTGGGCGTGGCCGGGCGCGGCGAGGGCGTGGCCGCAGCCCAGCTGGCGGCAGATCACCTGCGCGTCCTGCAGGTCCCAGGTGTCGTCGCAGACGGTTCCCCACTTGTGCTCGCGGAACAGCTCCACCCGCCCCGCGCAGGCGCTGGAGCCGTTGGCCAGGCGCACCTGGAGCTGCGACTCCACCTCCACACCTGCGGGGCAGGACAGGTGTGGCGCACCTGGGCAGGGCTCCAGATGTGGCTGGGGTGTGGCTTCAGGCGGGAAAAGGGGTTCTGGGGCCAACAGGTGGGCATTGGGAGGGGTTTGGGGGTCGACGGGTGGCTCTGGGAGAGTCTTGGGCTCAGGTATGAGCAGGTGTGGTTCTGGGTGGATTTAGGTCGGTGATGGGGTGGAGAAAGGGGTTCTGGGGCCAACAGGTGAGTCTGGGAGGGTCCTGGGGCTGACAGATGACTGTGAGATGGTTTTGGGGTCAACAGGTGAGTCTGGGGCTGTGCTGGGGTCAACAGGTGAGTATTGGGAGGGTTTGGGATCAAACAGGTGAGTATTGGGAGGGTCTCAGGGTCAACAGGTGACTGTGGGACGGTTCTGGGGTCAACAGGTGAGTCTGGGAGGGTTCTGGGCTCAGGTGTGGTCACAGGTAGGTCCAACCAGGTAACCCCCCCTTCCCCACCTCCCTGAGCCCCCTACCCGCCCCTCCCCAAGCCCCACCTGCCTCACCTGCACACACCACGCCCACGTCAGCGCCGTGCTCACAGCTGGCCTCTCCCCAGGGCCCCACCTGGCACTCACCCAGGTGGCCCTCAGTGCCCGTGCAGGTGACCCGGTCCAGCCACACTGGCCCCTCCCCCCGCCCGAAGTGGGCCCCGCCTGGCGCCGACAGGGCGGGGCCACAGCCCACCTGGCGACAGACCACCTGAGCCTCGGCCAGGCCCCAGGTGTGGCCGCAGAGCGTCCCCCACCTGTGCAGGTAAAGCACCTCCACGCGCCCCGCGCAGCGCCCGGGTCCGCCCGCCAGGCGCAGCGGGACAGGTGAGGGTGGGGCCAGGGCGGGACCTGGATGGGCGGGGAGAGAACAAGAGGAGAGTCAGGATAGGTGTGGAGGGGGTCAGGTGTGACCCTGAAGTCCAGGTGTGACCCCAGGGACAGGTGTGACCCCAAAGTCCAAGTGTCTCCCAATGTCCAGGTGTGTCCCCACCTCACCTGTCCCCCCCCAGCTGTGTCCCACCCCACTCACCGCTCAGGGACAGGTAGAGGAGCAGCCCCAGGTGGCTCTGCAGGTAAAGGAGCCTCATGTTGGGAGTGCACACCTGGGCACAGGTGAGGTCCCAGCAGGGGCTGAGGTGGGCACAGGTGTGGCCTGCACAGGTGAGAATGTATGTCCAGAACAGGTGACGTCACAGGTGAGAAGGTGTATCCTGCACAGGTGAGAAGGTGTGTCCTGGACAGGTGAGTGCTCCTCCAACACCTGAGGACCCCCAGTCACACCTGAGTCCCCCCAGCACACCTTAGGACCCCCAGACGCACCTGGGAACACCCAGACACACCTACGCCCCCCCCAGTGCTTTAAGGACCTGCCACACCTGAGTTCCCCACACACCTGAGCCCCCCCAGATGCACCTGGGGGCCCCCAGACACACCTGAGCCCCCCCAGACACACCTGAGCCCCCCCCCGTGGTTTTAGGGACCCCGAGACACACCTGAGCCCCCCAGGTGGGATTTACCTGCCCCCCCGAAGCAGGTGCGGCCCCCTCAGGTGCCCCCTCCGCGTGCCGGGGGTGGGGGAGGGGGAACCTCTGGACCCTCCTGGGTTTGTCCCGGTTTTCTTCCTGGAAAAGCTGCTGACGCAACCACGGGGTCACGGAGGGGGGGGGGAAGGGTCACCTGGACACCTGGCACTGGTCCAGGGGGGGAGGGGCCACCCCAATTCGCCTTCCCAGTTGAATGCCGGGACCCCTCCCCTCCCCCCCATCTGGGACCGGCTCACCTGGGCCGGGATGGGGGGCTCAGGTGGCTCAGGTGGGCGCCGGACCCTCCCCAAGGGGGACCCTCTCACCTGGAGGGGGGCGGCACTGAGGACCCTCCTGGCCATGACGTACCTGTGCGGTGAGTGACGTCCTGGGGGGTCCGGGGGGGTTGGGGACCCAGTTTGGGGGATTCTGACCCAAAATTGAAGGGTTTTGACCCAAAATTGAAGGGTTTTGGTCCAAAACAGAAAAAGTTTCCCCCCAGATTGAAGGGGGTTGACCCGGAATTGAAGGATTTTGACCCAAAACTGGAGGGGTTTGACTTAAAATTTAAGGATTTGGACCCAAAATTGGATATTACCTCAAAATCAACATATTTTGCCCCAAAATCAACATATTTTGACCCAAAATTGACATCTTGCCCTGTGTCACAGAATTCTACTCCAAAATTGGCATCTTTTGCCCCAAATTGATGGATTTTACCCCAAAATCAACATATTTTACCCCCAAATTGATG